AAAAGGCCGGTAACGCACTTGTAACGCCTCTGGTGTTCCAGGTGTCCATGGGCGACGACGATTGCTTACCATCAGGTGATCCGACTGCCCGTTTACCGGCTTATGCAATAAAAAAAGTTATTCTACGAAATAAGAATGACTACCAATGATTTTAATCATACCCCCGTGTCTTTTATTTCCTTTTGATAAACATATTTAATAATGTTTTAATTTTATTGTCTTTAGTCTAGAATCTAGATCTTACCCACATAAATCGATGAATTAATGATGACCTGTAAAAACCTCGAAGATAATAATACTCACCCATCGATAAAGTATTAGTTACTTAAAGGATTTCATTTTTGTGAGGTGAATTCGTGTTGGTATATTTTATAAAAACAATTTTCGTATAACTTAATAAAAGTAAAAACAAACTAAAAAGTTGGTTTACTACGAGTGAGCTGACTTTTTATAGTTTTATCTGTATTTTATAATTAAGAAATTTCCTCGGAGCTCAAACATAAAAAAAAGATGTTAACAAAAAAAAAGTAAAGATGAAAAGAAAAGTTTAGTAGAGTAGTAAACCAAAAGGAAAAATGTATTCGTTAACTACAAGTTTGGTGCTACGAATCAATGTTATAATTCTGTTGCAATTACAATTTTCATAAAATCTTAACATTCACAATTATTATGTTCTAATAACATAAAAAAGTCACTGTTACAAACGTAACATTTAAATAAATGGTAATTAATGTATAAATTTTTAAACTTCGAACTGCCTATTTTCGTTGTGACGCCATCTTAGATTTCCGCTACACGCACCGTATTTACATGATTTGACGACGTGTCCTGTAAAAATAAATCTGTTAGATTATATTTTACGAACATTTTAACAACTTCAATACTAAACGATATTCGATTTGTAGATGTTTAATAATTGATTTATTCCACTTTATAATAACATGTTACATAGTAAAATCAACCGAACACGGCAGCGTTACGAGTTATTTAGGATTTCAATCAGACATGAAAAAGGAACATATTTTGAGAAGTGACTTAACATAATAAAACGACTTACCTACATTCCATGGATATCGGCAGAGACATAAATATAGTGCTCTTTTTATTTGTGCGTCATATTTTACATAACTAAATTCTTAAAAGCTTATTGCTACTAATTTTTTTGGCTTATCTTCATTCATTGTTTAAAGATAACATATATAAGCATATTTTTGTATAATTATTTGACAAATTAAACTAGACTTTATGACAAATACAACAAGCCACAATACAACAAACACACAAGTATAGCCTTAAAGAAATTTACTCACTGGCGGAAATCTGCAGACAAATTACCAGCATTAGCACTCAAGACACAAGAAGCCGTATGCATCTTCCGCAACTCTCAACTCAACTGTCAATTATGCCAACAAAAGGTGTAGCTTGTCTCAAGTAATTGCGTATTTTCGGCCGATGCCATTCAAGTGTTGAGGGCGAACGATCAAACGTACCTTTGTTTTATCTTCTCGTGACAGGGCGACACCTATCGGGCTTCGTTTTTCTTTGTCCAACTTCAAAATGTGTGTGTGACATAACTTCGTCGTTTATTTCTTCTTATTTCCATCGCATTGTGAACAATAACGTTTCTTTGTGATGTTTCAGACATGTTTTTGGTATACGAAACGCTTTTATTTGTTTATTGACAATAGAAGGTGAAATCATCAAAGACTTTCTATGGTTTTGAATAAATTTTTGACTTTTTCTTGATGTTATTAATGTTCTGTTGGTAACTGTTTTGTTGGTAGTGACTTCTTACGAATCCATTTTTTAATCAACCACGGTTAACATCGTTATGGACCTAATTGATCTATTTATATGATATTTAAAAATATATCAATTTAATTTGTCATACGGAGTCGTGGAGAACCTAACGGGTTACCGGGGCTCCGGCTCGAAGTGCAGGAGTGGGAACAGGGTGGTTTTTAGTCAGTAAGAGTCTGACACTCCCTCCCGTCTCACCCAGGCGGGAGAAGTAATTCGATGACTTATCCCCCTTAAGCCTTTGACTGCCGACAGAAAACTGTTAAAGGCAAAACCTCCGCTAACGTAGGTCACCGGTGAACTACGTGGCGGTTAAAAAAAAAACTTGTGTTAAAAAAAACTTAATTTGTCATTAAAATATGTATCAAATAACTTGTTACTTTGTTTATCAATACGTCATCATCATTCAACAAAAGCACCACACAAACTGACACAAATCGCCAATTTGAAAACTGTTTAACAAAACCATATAGGTCATTAAAAACCATTAAATACTCAAACAGTGACTCACGCCACAACTCATCCGACAATTTAGTAACGTCTACCAATATGTAACAGGGAATGTTTAAATCTAGCGACTTGTATATTGAAGTGGGCGAGTTTGAGTAGATCATGAGCCAATGTCGTAAAGTCATGGGTTTACGAGCAACGTGACGGCCGCGACGAAAACGCACGGACATGACGGATCGTGTGTCTCCGCCTTTATGGCTGCAAAAAAACGATGTTGAGATCTCTCGTTGTCGAGTTTCGGGTGAAGTGGACCACCTAAGATGTGTGGGTTAATAACTTAGTGAATGATTTGTTGATGAGATAAATGCTGAAGTGTAGGAACTTATTGAAAAGTATCCTAAGTACTGCGGAGAACCTAACGGGTAACCGGGGCTCCGGCGCGACGTGCAGGAGAAGGAACGGGGTGGTTTTTAGTCAGTAAGAGTCTGACACTCCCTTCCGCCTCACCCAGGCGGGAGTAGTCATTCGATGATTTTCCCCCCTTAAAAAAAAGTACTGCTTTAGAAAACCATGGCCATCATGAATAGCTGTGATAGGATGGAGATCGCAGTTTAAATATTATTTTACTTTATCGTTAGGTTGTTCAGAGGACGCCACTGTCCAGTTCCACTTACTTCATCCGCGGAAAAAGCAGTGTGTAGTGAACTCAAAGAGCCAAAGCTTTTAAATATTGTTCATATAAATTGTGTAGTAATTTTAATTGGTACCTATTAGTCATAAATTATGCTGCTATTACAGAACTATACATGATTGTGGTAAACAATTAAATAAATAGGTATCATAAAATACAATTTTATCTACTTATCAATGCGGACAGTTTAATGTATCTTGAATTAAAAATATTGACAACACAAATAAACTGTATCACGATGATTTGGCGACATGTGTCATTGCTGACTATCAGTTAGGTATAAAGGTCTATCATATCATTGTAAGTAACATCTAGGTATTAATCACACCCACAACCAAAAGAAAGTTATTCATAATAAACAACCACCAAAAAGAAAGTTATAAATAAACAAGTTTTAAATAAAGAATACTTTATTGATATCATTCACAATCTAGTGGAAATAAATCATGGCCAAAAATAAAAAAGAATAAAGACCAAAATACTTTTTACAAAAACAATAAAAATGACAAATTATCATTTCAAAAAAAGAATGTTAACACCTCCTATGCAGTAGTAATGGGGTCATTATAGATAATGGTTAGACGCCATTTATTTCATATCTGTATTTGTTCATTCGCGCCCTCGCGGGACATGTGTAGCTCTATAATATCATTGTTCCCGGGATTTGGTCCACAATTGCGTGGAACATCAGTGGTGCACCCCTAGTCCGGGACATATGCTGCGGTACCCCGGGGAACTATAGTTTTGCTTAGAGCTTATTCCTTAGATGTATTTTAAATTTCGATAAAATAGACGATGCATATGGATCCTCAATTAAGGTATTATGATTGCAGGGCGGATGATGGTTTTACAAAGGGAAATTATTATATAAATATTACGTAATCAAATAAGATTATAAATATAACCAAAAGGTTTGTCTCATATCTATTATATTTTTTGCAATTTGGGACTATTGTTGAATTTGCAAATACAAAAAAAAAACGAGTAGAAGATGTAAACTACAGACCTAAAAAAAGACATTTAAAAACGGTTACGATAAACAAGCACACTCCAGTATATTTCCATTTTTAGTTATAAATGGCTCATTCAAATTTAAAAGTAAAAAACGTCTGCTCGTTTGCCTCATATTTCATAAAAAAACTTGGTTTTATTTTTCCGCAACAACATTACCATCTCCTACATAAAATATGCGTAGTCAATCCCCAATATTATGATATCGCTTTAAATTCGTCAATGCTTCGCTAATTTAGCTTGTGCAATTGGGGGAGTTATGGAGCCAAATCCCCGTGTCTGACGGCGCAACGCACAGATAAAGAAAAAAAATGACATCTCTATAATGGCGGATAATGTTCCCGCCACAAATTTGATGTCAGCTTCATTAGTTATTATTATGTTTTCTGTTTATATTTTTATGTTTGGAATATTTTATCTTGATGGAAATGCACTTGCATTGCACTTGTGGCTCATAATATAAAATAAATTAACGTTAATTGTATTATAACAACTTTTGAAAGTTAATGTATTTTAAAGATTTGTTTTTGAACAAGATTACTTTATTGTTTTTCTTTTAGAACTAATTTGGCATAATTATAATGTCTCTCAGAGCTACCACAATTGTTACAATATGTATATGTAATATCATAATTGGAATTTAATAACGTGGTCACATTAAAATGACATAATTAATATCTATAACTACTCGTATTAGATTACCGAAAAGCGACAATCAATTTATCAAATGGACATAAAATTGAAATCTCTCGCAATGTCAGGATCATTACTCGGGCACGTCTCATCTCCCCAAATCGACAATATCTGTAGAGACGCGTGGCAAGTAATCCCTTAACCCTCCGCCTACTGTGTCGCGTGAGAAGTGAATTAAATCGCCACGGGGTCCGATCGACCACTTAACGGATCGTGTTCGTGTCTTAGGATTGATAGTGCGACGGAGGGTTGTTGAAAGTTAATTCGTGTTTGGTGTCACTGTAGTCACTTTATTACGTGTTAAAGGAAATGCAGTTTTCTTATGAACTTTCTGATCAATGGGGGACGAAAGAAAATGGATGGTAAGTTACTAATGAAATATTTCATTTTACCTTAAGTAATTAACTTTTTTTTTGTTATTACAAATGTAGCTTTGTAGTCAATACATATAATATACGAACGCTTAATTTTTATTTATGATTGTGTCAAATTACACTGAATTACCCGTCAGATGTTCAATATGTATGAGTACCTAAGGCCAAAGGGTCAAAGTGTTCATAAACATTCAATCAATATTAATTTTCACTAATTGACCAATCAGTTAGCGACAGTAACAAAGTAAACCATGGAAAATTGACGACAAAATTATGATATAACCGATTTAAGACATTGTCAAAACTTTATTAATCTTTATTAGTACATCGGGCGTGAACAAAAGTGATAAATGTTCCAAAGTTATTGTTCTAAATAATCCTTTCAGTTTACAAAGACGACCCTCTGTCAGGGCGCTGTATTAACCCTTAAATGGCATTGTGCGGGGGTCGCGCGACACGCGGACTGTCACATTCACAATATAGCTTCATAGTTTATTATAATATTTTCGTTCAATATTGCCCTCATTTCCCCTCAGTAGCTTTACACGTTACACACTACTGAATTTATAAAGCGGTCACTTTTATTATGGTTTCCAGTAAAGCATTTATGTTATATCAAGATTCTGATATAAATTTTAATGTGGAGGTAATCATTCATTATAAAAATATACATTTCATTATTGTGCAACTGCTTTGTGTTTTGATGACTAAATGCTCAATATAATCAATTAAATTAAATTATTTCAAATAGCCATGTAATTGTAATTTTCAAACATTTGTGGTCAAAAATTGCAAAATTTATTTTGTATAAAAAAGGTTTCGCAGTAAACCATAACATAAAATCAGCCAGTGCGAACACTCGCGCCCTTGTATGATCCGCGATGACAATAAATCATGTAATTTGGCGACGAAATACGAATTCCGCATCCCGGGCCGTATTACTGCCATGGGTGGATTTGTACTGTTCATATGACAGCAACATGCGGTTATTACTAGAATTACAAGAATATGACAATTTATATCCCGAACCATATTACATTTGGGGAGTTTACTCATATGATCAACTGTAAATCTCGTTGCTTAAGGGGGAAAATGGATTTGTCATATTCAGGAAAGGGCTGCACGCAAATCTACTTGAATATTCTGTTTAAATTCACATTTAACAAGCATTCCGTGGAAACTAGCGTTTGTGTTTACACATCAAGATTTCCTTCAGTAGTTTCTAGTGCGGCTATATCAGAACATAGGTAGTGGAAGTCATAACAGTGTATATGTAAGCCGATCGATGTGGCTGGAATGGGTACATACACAAGGCGGAACAATAGGCCAAGGCGTCGACACAATGGACAATGCCCGTACCTTCGATACGATAAATACACTCATCTAACGTTTGTCTGTGTGTGTGTCGATATGTGTTTTATATTGCATAACGCTTATGTTTGTTTGGTTTCTACTAACAATACTGCTAAACTCATGTCTAACTTTATGTTATAGAATGTTCCACGAATGCTGGCACAAAAGGCACACCTATGCGTCAAGTTATGCGTACTCTCGTATCCATATAATAATTGTCCACGAGTGAACTCAAGCATCAGGTTTATTTTCGGTAACAAATTCATAAAACTATATTGGCTCACAGATGTCCGTAACGCTAAAGCTCGCATTATTGAAGGCGTGGTTCTGGTAGATAAGTAGATTTGTGACAGTACGGTAACGACACACATAAATTTGTACGGACAAACACCGTTACGCGGCTTAGCTTCCTGGCAAACAAGGGCGCCGGGTCCGAATGATACCACCGCGCATTTGAGGGTTACTCTTTATTAGCTCCGAATATGCTACTAATATTGCTAAATAAATATCATAAAAATATTATTGGCTCGAATTTTTGGAGAAAGGTTTTTATACGCAGTCGTATTTTAGTTGTAGGACAGCAGTTGAAAGTCTTAACCACTTCTTTTCAGCTTCATATCATTTACTTTGCTATAGAAGAACAAAAAGGTTATGCTAAGTTCTCTGACCCTCCGTATGAAATGACCTTAGTACATCTGACACCATACAGGAAGACTATCGTTGCAAGCGCGTGCGCCGACCGGTGTGCGATCACAATGCAGCGGAAGACGCCGCCCTCAGCAGATGGCGCTCCTATACCAACTTGAAACTGGTTTCTAATAAACGCGGTATTATTGACCCCCGATTTGACGGCTGTTATTATTCGTAATCTTGAGATGCCACGTGTCTTATACATCAGTTTTTTAGGGTTAATTATTGTGTTTTATAATAATTGTGTCGTTGTTCATGGTTCGGTTGGGGTTTTGCATATTCATGGAATCAAAAGTGAGACATTTTTTGTCAGTGACAATTTATATTCATTATTAAAGCTTTTTAAAAACAACAATGATATTGTTTATCTCAAGCAAAACAGTTTCATTCATAGCTGAAGTGCTGCGTACTTATCTTTTTAACATTTCTATCTTTAAATATCTATGTTCAATGCCAAACCTTATAAGACGATAAATAATCTTGTTAAGATTGATACATTTTGGGTAGACATTTCGTCAATAAAATAATTAACTACTTCAGCGTAAAGTAATTAATAAAGAATTCACCAAAAAACGGATCCTACCTAATTAAAGCGTCTCGTTCACCCAAAACAAATTCGGAAACCGATTTCCGACAGTTGCGTTAAGCACGCGACATACTAGCAACGTAGCAACACGCACACAGACACACGAAGATAAGAACACGCGCCAATTCGAGTGGCGTAATGAATGTGCCCTAAAATAAACCGCTTCACAATACGACCATCTTGTATTACACGACTTTGTATGCAGAGGAAGTGGGAGGCAGCTGGCTGACTTCTTTTCTTCAATCCGTAATGATGGTTTGTAGACCTCAGCGCTGGGCCTTTGTTCATTTCTCCTGTCGCGTGCCTCACTGTATTATTTGCCTAAGTAGGTGGAAAGGTGTTCATGAATGTACCGTTGAGCGTCTCAAGATGTTTTGATTTGATAGCGAGGGTTGTTTCCAAACCCAAGCAATTATAACTATTATTACATAGATGCTGTTGCAATATTCCCTGAATTACCGACGTATTGATAGGAATGCAGATTAAACAGAATCTAGATAGTGGTAATGCGGAATGATGTAGATTTACTCGGAATAGATAAAAACAAAACGATGAAGTGATGATTTAGCAAAATAATCGGAAGTGTTACGTCAGATTGTTTGTCCTCAACTTATCTGTGATAAAGATAAGTAAATAAGAATTGGTTTCTAGACTAAAACACACCTTTGTTTTGACCGTCTGATTGAAAAATGTTACAGGGAAAGCCAGAGCAAAAGGAACGCTGTTATTGAATAGAAGCTGTACTAGTAAGCTAACTGACACGTATACAAGGCCACAGGGTATAGTATAGGTTGAGAGAGCATGAGTATATTCGAATGCACAATATTTCGTTCAGGATAAAAATACGATTGACCTTTTATTTAAAAGACCATAATCCTGAAGAGCCTGCATACTTCCATATTTACCTACTTAGAATACAAATAGGTAGCTATACCAGATATTTAAAAACATATGGAAAATCACATTTTACCTGCAAGAAACACAGCTTTCAATCATCAATTTGTTACAAACACCCTTGTAATCTAAAGCCGAAAATACGCGGATATTAAACTAACCGGAGCGTGATAATAATACTCCTTATTCCAATGTTATTACAACGAATTGCTTAAAAATGTACTTAAGTACATATAAAAATGGATTGAATATCAAGATTAGATATCTTTGTTTCAGTACATTTGCAGATAATAGTTGAAAGATAGCGATAAAGGGGCCTTGTCCATTCAGAAGGTTTTGTATTTTCCGTTTTACACCTGGCAAGTAACGGCTAGCGTCATATCAAACGAATGCTTATACAACGCTAGATTACTATCAGTTTCCTGAGATACAGATCAAATACGCAACTATCGTCAAAACTTTTGTAGGTTTACTGTATAATAAAGCTTATTTTCCTATCAATTCAAGGTTTTTTGACGTGGCGATTGTAGGTTCGTTTGGGCTGCGCTATTTTCTTAAATCAAAATTGCACAACTGTGGGTAATTTTATGAGGTGGGTGTGTTAATTATGGAATTATTTGCAAGTCATTCGAAGATCACTTCATCAGGTGACTCTTGTGAAGAATAGGCATTGCGCAAGAAATGCGGCTTGTGGCAGCCTGTCCACAACAGGTTAAAAACAATCATAATTTGACTAGGAGCAGTTGATATTTGCCTCTTACGTGTAGTTAGAAGTGTAGTCCTTTGATTTCGATGGCGACCTCTAGCGTCCAGCCCTAGTGTGGGTCATGATGCGGAGCGAGGGGCCTGAGGTGCCGTTTCCTCCTTTTGCGAAGCAGTCATGCTAGCTAAGGGGGAGGCAGGGCGCGTGAGGCAGCTAAGCGCTGCCTCTTCGCAACCCAGCCATGGGGCCCAACAGAGCTGATGCCGATACGGAGCCGTGGAGAACCTAACGGGTTACCGGGGCTCCGGCTCGAAGTGCATGAGAAGGAATGGGGTGGTTTTTACTCAGTAAGAGTCTGACACTCCCTCCCGCCTCACCCAGGCGGGAGAAGTCATTCGATGATTATCCCCCCTTAAAAAAAATTCTTTGATTTGGCCTGTTGTTAGAGTGTTGATTTCTGACGACAGTTATCTAAAAGCTAGTATGTAGCTTTTATTGTAAAATTGGTCAACAGGTTTTAATGGGAATTGATCCAAAAATGAAAAAAACAAATGCAGAAGACTGTCACTTTGGTCTGTAAAATCTAGAGGTAGTGTATACAAATAAGGATTGAAGTGTAGCTAATAATAACATTGAATTTTCCGAATTCTAACTATAGGCAACCTAGTCATAGCTACTGTCATAACATTAGCAATTCCAAAAAATACAAATACGCATTTTCTTACAATATACAGGTAAACAAAAATAATCTTTGTGACGTTAGCGTAAAGCATAATTTATCACATTAAATTATTAAGTATCATGTCTAACGTCATAAGACAGATGGTCGTATTCGGATAAGATTAAAAGGAGCAGAGTTCTTAATTTTTGCACATGATTGCTTACATAAGTTGCGTGTTTTACTGGGATTATTGAGTTGGAGTATTTGGAGGAAAATGGCAATGTATTCGATTCTTTTTTGAGGGTGTAAATCATCACCCCTACTTCCTCAGTACGAGTCTGAATTCGTCCTAACTAAAAACCGCGTTCCAATTCCTGCTTCAATCCGGGGCCCGGTAAACTCTTGTGGTTGTCCTCATCCCCAGTTTAATGTGCTCATGTATGGTCAACCAGAGTATGCCCTAAAACTGCATAAACGGGTAGCAGATACATAAAATATTCGATAACTTAACACTGCAATTGATGAGCCACCTGCTAGGCATAGAGAAGGTTGTTCAGTAGTCACCGGCATTTTATGGCAAAGTTCAACGTCTTCTTATAACTTTAGGTAGTTCAAAGTCTCAAAAGCAGATTATTTTTGAGTCTTTTTGTAATATCCAGGCTACGTTTGGGTCCTAAGGATGTACGATTGAGGTCAGCAAATAAATATAGTGCTACTGAGTTTCGAAATTCCTGGTTTTTTGTATAGAACTGTGTCTGATTTTAAGTAAGTTTTACTGAAATTTCGTTTTGTATTGAAGCATACTATCATTGTAGTAAAATACGCGCCAGTTTTTTCATTATCAGTATTCGTGCTATCAGCCAACGATAACTATTGATTACAAACTGCCAAACAGATTTTGTGTTTATGTCAAACAATATAAGTATGGAAATTGTCACCAGCTAATTCTGTATCTCTGATTTTTTAAGAAACGCTTCGATGATATGACAAAAGACTTGTACGAATACTTCGTGAATAATGTCATTATTTGAAGTTGAATTTATGAATAAATGATTATTATTATTGGTTTGTTAAAATGATGCAATAATGTGAATAAGTGGATGATATGGTATTACTTTTTCGTGGTGGTGAAGCTATGCTATTTTATGTATATTCGATGTTTGTTTTCTCTTCTTTAGTTAAATTTTTATCGAAGTATAGATGAACTTGATTACTATTGAGCTTCTAGATTTACCGGATAAAGAGATACCGATTCAACACTTCGTAAGCTTATTGATGACGTTTTTCTTTGACATAAAGTTCCTCAAGAAAGCAGCAAAGTACTTAAGTATGTATTTTGAACTCAATTCTGTCGTAACTCAACAAAAGATAGTTGAGCACACGACTCATGTCTAATGTGTTGGCAAAACGTTTAGTTGGTTTATTGTACCGGCAATTTGCTGTAATTATCCGGTTAATATCCTGCACCCTCTTCAGTGCTTGTCGGTGCCAGTACATCACTGAATGCACTCGAATAGATAATAAGAACTTATACAGTAGCATGCTTAGAGTAAATCAAGGTTTATAGAGTAACTTTTATTTTGTTTAGCCGACTACTTTATTCTTCTAATAAGAGCTGTTGGTCAAGTTAAAGTCGAATTAACCTCCCCTATTAAAGTAGGATTGGTTATAGTCTCTATGCGTAGTGGGCGTGTTAAAAATTCAATGTTTTAATAGCGCGTTATTTTCCCTGTGTACGCATGCAGCCTCTTACGGATAAATGGAACAAATGGTGGATTGACATCTAATTGACAAGTTTATTTTTATTTTAACCATTTAACGTATTTTTGTTGCAGGCCAAGAAGAAGATGGCGAACCTTTAGCAAACGATGACAATACGGGTGAGTTTAATCCTACAAACACTACATAGGTATTACATATTTCGTCATATTCGAAAATAATTAAATTACGCCCCGCTACGTCAGTTAATCAAATAATCCGATCTAATAAATAAAGAATATTTAATCTTAGCCACTATGAACACAATAATACGGACCATATTGATCAATTTCTCGTATTAAGGGAAATTATATAAAACATATCGTTATCATTATTGATACCTATTTAATTTAATGTACCTAAACAATATATTATATGCTTATCGCTTAAGCTTATCGTAATTAATATGTACGTAGCTGTAGGTATATTGAATGTTGTATGTGCCTCTAAGTGGTAACTTCAGTATTCTAAAAATAATGAATTTAAAAGCAATTGAGTCTGTATATTGATTATTCAAGACAATTGAGAATATTATATTGAGTATTAATATTTAATAATTATTTTATATCTATTTAGGTATTAAAAAAGGGCTAATTGTTAATTTTACTACCTTCCTAGGTTAGTGACTTGTTTAAGCGCTACGCATTTTTAGCTTTTGATAAATCTTTGTACATTTCCTTTGATATTTTGTTTTGTGATAGAAACCTTTCACAAATAGTCTTTATTTGTGAAAGATTTCTATCGACATAAAAACTGACAAATAAAGACAAATACTTTAGAATATATGACTTAATGTAGGCAGCAAGAGTACGTTATGGATAAATTGTAACGTGGAGTTGAATTGCGCTACGTGGCATGAGCCACGTAGGACGTAGTGCTAAGCTTTGCAATGCCTTCGCTGTTGCTATATCAGTTTAATATTACAGTAAAGCTTTAAATATAATGTTGAGATATCTGTAAGTATAAAACGTTGCTTTTTAATCATTTAATTAGATGTAAATGTTAATTCCGAAACCACGTGTCAAATTATCAGGTTGACATCTGATACAATCGTTCTAACGAGTCAGTTGCAAATATTTGTGTATCTACCGATTATAATAATATGGAAATTTTCACAAAAACAAAAATAGTTCTTAACATTTGATTTTTTTTATTTAGTTAACGAACCTCCTTGGTTACGGTTCATCAACATATTCATCAACTCTTTTGGTAGTGGTCATCAGTTTTACTCTGGACACAAATTTTCCATAGAGATGGAGAATAAAAAATGATATACGATGTAGGATTTTTAAAATATTACCCAAAAAATGCGCATCGTTTTTCGGGTGATATTTTAAAAAATGCATATTTCTTAAAATGTTGTCCGTGGTTCATATGCGTGACGTGTATCGCTGTAAACACACCTACAAAACCTAATCTTTTTATCAATACTCTTCAGAACAATAACAAATCGAGGCTTTCCCACATTTGAGCACACAATTTGGGAGAGAAAAGGTTGGTGTGCATACACCAAACTTGGATGTGGTATATCCAAAACCTCGTTATCACGACATCAATTTTCATTAGTTTAGTTTTTCTTTAATTTATCAGTGCTAACGTAAAATGCTCGGCTCCGATTATGTCAATGATGATTACATATCATTCTTTGTCTAATCTATACTGTGATATCTTTGTCTACGTGCCCGATTTTGCTTCAGTGATGAGAAGTCTGGTGGAAGTGAATAGTTGTCTTTTCTGTTCTTTTCCCATAAAGAATTTCTATTGTTTAATCTGTAGACTGTATATGTTAATTTGTTACGGCAAATCCTGTTTGAAAGTGGGTGTCGATACCATTGATAAACTCAGCGCGGTGAGTTTTTTTTTCTAATACTTTATTTAATTGTATTTTTTTTTGTGTTTTTTAATTTTGGTGGTGTTATTTTTTTGTTATTGTGTGTGAATTTGGTTTGATGGAAATATAAAGGTGTGTTTGTTTTAGGTAATGTTTAGTGTTATCTTTGCATAATAATTGTTAATTAGTGTAACATAATTATTTATTGTTATATACATTTACATAATATTTTAATTATTAACATATTTTTATAAGACGATCCAATAACCTATTACTAAATACTAAGCATCTTATAATACTAGGTACTCAGCATCTTATAATACGGAAAATAGTTAACTATATTTCTGACAATTTATTCGTTTTATTCTCGTTTTGGACATTGTTTTGTGTTTCAAATTTAGTTTTTTTGACATGGATTCTTTTATGTCACTTTAATTGATTACACAACAACACAACATCACGCCTTTTATCCCCGAAGAAGAAGGCACAGGTGCACATTACGGCACTTAATGCCACTGTACAATGTATGTTTTATTAATTTGAAAAATATATTTTCTTTCCAAATTGCTTACTATTGTTTTCGTGTTATGATCTCCGGTATTGTGGATACATTAACATATAAGTGGGAAGAGTTAGGATGTTATTCATTTACCACAAAATAAAATGCTTATAAATGTTTCGAATATCACTTAATTCACTTTTTGCATGTCCTGCATTTGTAAAGTCTGCATAACTTCCTATATACTGTAACAAACCGTGAAAACGTTTTATTGACTTTAAAATAAAGTAGCGTATGTTTGGTTTTCATTCATTGCCTCCTTGATTTATTTCTATAATAATATTTCAATAAACACATACTGTTTTCATTTACCTATTGTCAAATTGAAAGCGGAAGCCCCCATTCACCTACAAATTAAAACATTGAAGGACATAATTATGACTTTTTGTAATCTCCCACACATATACAAACTTCTAACATAGGTACATACAATGTATGTATGTCATACATACATACATAAATTGACTTAATTTATCAGTTAAGCATTATTTCAGACTTAGCTTAATCTGAGTCTAGTATGAGGTGTGACTAAACGTGGTGTGATGTTATCGACCGCCATATTAGATAACGGTCACGTTCAATTGATTCTTTTATCTTTATTAAATATTATTTCTTAGAAATGATTGTTATTCGGACGTGAGTTGCCATTTTTTGGAAATCTTGTAGGTAATATATTTGTATTTCCAAAAATAATTTATCATCTTTAACCTATTAAATGTCCACTGCTAAGCAAAGATCTCATACGTGACACACAATGATAGATACACAGGTATTTGACTTGAATTGAGATATTAGGTACTTGATAGGCATATGTTAATTTTTTTTTAAAACGTTGCCCCACGCTTGGAATATCTCCTGTGTCGTGGGTGTGTTTACAAACATACAAGTTCACATACACGTGATACCCAGACCCGAAACAACAATTTGTGGATCACACAAAGTGTTGTTCCGTGCGGGAATCGAACCCGCGACACGTTGCACGGCCCAGCCACCGCAATAACCGTGCAGTCAAATTTGTATTATCTCTGAATGGTTTGAGTTTGAAGATTTTTGACAATGGATCTTATAAATAGATACATTCATGTCATTGTTAAAGAAGTTTGTGAGTGGCCTATGCAGTCTCTTATTTCTTATATTGTTTTAAATTTGTAATCATTGCCCTTTTAATTAAGTAAAAGGCACATCCTGAAACTCAGCACTGCTATTAATGTAATATTTTGTATTTTCCTATCATAATACGTAGTTACAATGAGCGAATTGAATAAACTTGAATAGAAGAAATTTTATAGATAAGATATCTTACGTAATTTATTGGACTTTCCAAAAATGTGTTTACGTTATGTGTTCGTGGGTGATAAATTCAATATGAGTACTGCGTAGTAAGTAGGATAAAACAGTCGTTATAATTAGGCAGGTATACAGCCACAACCTATTAGAATAGATATATAATAGATTAACTACACCTTTCTTTTATATATTAAGAAATAGATAGATAAGTAGACTAAATGCTTTATATTATAAGGGAATATACAAATGTAATCTTCAGATGTTTCGGAAAACACGTGTCGATATAATGAAATGATAGTTGAAAACCAATTACGAAAAATATACCTAATATGTAATAGCATGTTACTTACAAAACTATTCATAACATAAAGTTTTTGGTGATACATTTATTTAATAAAATTAGGTTATTGTTCTAGACCTCGGTTGGGCCTACTCGTATATTCCCAATTTGTTCTATCCTTGTGGGAATTTTAAAACGTTTATTTTCCTAGAATCATTGTTAGTTTTCCCGGTTCTTATTGCAATTAGAGTTTTCCTTGTAGGCATAGTATTTATGCAGATATAAATTTTTATTAAATGCAGGTTGAAGGTAATCATTCACAACTCACATATACCTATATTTGCTATGACGTCGCTGCTAGTGAATCCAAGATAGATATAATAGATAGATAACAGTTTGCAGGAAATAACATGTTTTCGTACGTTTTATAATTTCTTCGAAAAACTTTAATTACTGTTTTATGGATACTTATCTAATGATTCTTTAGTTGAGGTAAGTAATTTCATCAGTATGAAATATATTCAACTTAATTACTTCAAGTAGAATCTTGACATATCTGACTTAAAATAGGGAACATGAATGAAAAATACTCCTTTTTTAATATGGATATTTTACTATAAGCTGATATACATACATAACAAACTGCATTTCTATAGACACAATTGCAATAAATCAATTATTTAACATCAATTCTATGTTAACGTAATCGAATAAACAATCGAGTGTTCCTATTATAAAATAATGATCAATAACAGGAATCCTTAGGTTTCATAGTTCGATAGTAAAATGTGTCGTGGATTGATTCTCTTCCCGGTCGTAAGCGAGTGTCATTAAGTGTGGGTCGTAAAACCGTGGTCGCGGTCGCGTCCATCGGAATGCAACGAAAGGCACGCCCGCTACCGATAAACTGGCTTCTGTCTTGTGTTGCCGCGCTATTATAGCTCTTATTGGCGGTTCTATTTGTATTATATAAATAATATTAAGATATATTTATAAATAAGTATATTTGTGTTTAAATATAAGAAACTGTTTTTATTGATAACGAAACTAGTGGCACTGAAAGTAGTGGTTGTCAGATGCTGCAATTTCGCATGTATGCTAAAACAGTTTAATATATTTTGCATTTGTTTCATGGCACGTGTAAAAACCAGATATATTATTTAGC